TTATCTGTCTCATGTATTACTGTCAGGACATAGTGAAAGTTTCAGAAAATATGTCACAAAGTTATTTTTATAAAAGTTAACGTTTGCAGCTTTAAATATTTTAGAGGCTGCAGTCTGTGGTGGTGTTGTACTGGACTGCATTATTCTGAAAGGTGTTTCCTATGTTCTGTCCACATTTTGTATTCAAATGGAGTACAATATATTAGAAACACCTTTCAGTATAATGCAGTCCAGTATGAGAATGTCGCTGACACCAGCTTCTGAAATCACTATAGAGAGATCAGTTTCTCTCCGATGCAGTGTCAAAAAGAACCTGTATCGAGGCTGTACAGGTGAAGGTCAGTCTGATGCTCTGTCTGCTCACTCAGTGCACTGTATATGTGTGTATCTTTTCTTAGGCACACTGTACCATATGGTATGTCCAGTTACCAGGGGTCTCTGCGTATGAAGCGCTCTGCTGGGACTGCCCAGCGCTGTGCGTGCACACTGCAGAGCGACTCTCACTGCAACAGCTTCTGCATGGACAGGTGAGTGCACCACGCACACAAAATGCTATGTTTAGTGGATATTTCCAGAAGTATTTATCATAAATAATAAGAATGTGAACATGTCTCTAGCCCATAGGACCATAGCAGAACACTTTTAATACCATCTTTAATACCACATCGGTGCGTGTACTCGCCGATACCCAATACCGCATTTTAGGCGGTACCGGAGGAACATCAGATTCTGGTATTGGTATAGGAACAACTCTAGTCAAAATTATTTCTCCTGTTCATACTGGCCTTAAAGTGTTCCCTGAGTAGTCTGACTCTAAGAGATGGGGGGCAGTCCTACAACAGTGACTCTTTCAGTGTACAAAAGGCATGAGAGTATTGCATAAAGACAAAAAAAATTCTTTAACTTTCAGGCATAAAACTCACCCTAGCCATTAGTAAACCTAAATATAAACACTTTTGGAAATTGGGAAAAAGTTTAACCTTAATGGCTAATATACATGTATAAATACACTTACTTGAAGTTGCTCCAGTTTCGGAAAAAATGTATTGAAGGAAAAGCCATTGTTTTTTTACGGCGTTGTGAATTATGACTAAAATTGCAAGACCTAATTCGATGTGGCGTTAAGCATCTGTGTGTTTTTTTTCCCCACCAGGCAGCGGAGGCCACCCAGAGCGACATCTGACATAGACAAGAGGACACCAACTCTGCGCAGCGGGCCCGCTATGAAATGAACACATAAGTTACATGCTCATGATCTGAAAGGTGGACATGCGTTTACATAAGGCATCCCCTTATATGGAAGAGTAGCATGTATATTTATGTTTCTGTAGATGGACACGTGTTTGTAGTGTACACAGTGCCTTATCATTGGACTGATGGATGAATTACCGTGTAGCTGCCTGCACAAAAACTGAAAGCGAGGGGTACCAGCAGGGAGGCTGAAGGAGTGCGTGCCCCTGCCTGTGCCTGTTGGGCATGTGTGGACGGTTTTTTATTCACAACTGAGCCTGGTTTACATGGCCTGTTGTGTGTCAGCAATGAAAGATTTTGGTAGAGCATGTTGCTCACACATGTCCATGCCGTGTGATGTGAAGGCTGATTCAAGAGACCTCAACCCATACTGTTAAAGACATCACAACAAGAAACGGAACACATGGTCTCCACAGGGACGGCTTTTAACCTGTCTGTCTGCATCAGCATACTTTTAAAATCTCACAATTAATCTCACACAAAGATCCAATGTATTATTTTGGTTAATAGGTTGTTCCCTTGTGAAGTGAGTTGGGCCTATCTTGTCTGGGTTTCCCTAGAATAACGCCACCCATTATTCAGCTTTAGTCTGACAAAAGCAAGACGTGGATTCCTTGCTTTACATGTAAAATACTTTGAGCCCCACCTGGCTTTATTTAAGCATATTTAAAATGAAATTGTTACCCATGTAATGTGACTGGAAGAATTTCAGATACTTGTACTTTACTGAGTATTTTCATGCTACTTTCTACTTGTACTTAATGACATCTCATAGGGAAATAGTGTACTTTTTATTTGACTATATTTATCTGACTGCTTTACTTGCTAGTTACTTTACAAATAAGATTTACACATACAAAATATATGAAGAGCTTATAAAATATGATCCTTTGTAATAATTTAAACTACCCAATACAATATACAGCTGAAGCAATTAGTCGATTGACAATTAAAAATCAATCGACAAGTAATATTATTAAAAGGTCCAGTGTGTAGGATTTAGTGGCATCTAGTGGTGTAGTTGCAGATTGGAATGCCTTCGCCTCACCCTCCCTTTCCAGAAACTAAGGATGGTGCAAAAAACGCAAATGGCCCTATGTAGAGCCAGTTTGTCCATTCTGGGCTACTGTAGAAACACGGCGGCCACCACTGAAAGCGGTAAAACACGATTCGTATATTCAGGTGATTATACACTAATGAAAACATACCTATGAATATTATATTCTGCCAATAGATCCACACACTGGATCTT